TATAAGAAATTTTTTTTGGAAACGATGTGAGCCCGAAAGTATTAAAATTAGAGTAATGTTATTCGTTTTTAACAGCCACATACATCGGCCGTTAATTTAGGAAATGAACAACTAATGAAACATCAGTTTTGAGCCAAACCCTCTGTGGCGTAGTGGCACATAAGTTGCCTTGGGTGCAACTAAGAGTGGAAACAAACCAGGTCAGGCCAAGCTTTACTCTTAACAGGTCAGGTCTGTTTTGTAGCCTATAGACCTGAGCCTAGCCTGTGGTCTATTACAGGCTTATTTTTCAGTCTGAGCCTAGCCTGTATAAAGGCCTGGCCTGGCTTGAAACCTGTGAAAAAGCCTGTTTTTTTAAAAAATTCAAATTACAATAAGTTTTTTTAGAAAAAAGCTAAAATAAAAAAAAAGTATACATAATAATTAATTTTTTTTTTTTCTTTTATTTAAATTTTAGTATCATAGGTACTGTTTTAAATCTTAATTACAATTTATAAAGATATTATTGAAAATTAATTCTGATTGTATGTTAAAATTTGGGACAAAACTATGTTTAAGTATAAAAAAAAAATTAAGACAAATAAATAAAGAAAAAAATATTAATTTTACAATGAATAAAGAGAGTATCATACTTTAATTAATATAACACATAAGTTAATTAATCTATCATTCTTGGAACAAAAATTTTCTTTCCTATTTTATTTATATTTTTAAGATTTAAAGATCATATTATTTATTGATATTTTTATTTTAAATTATATTTTTATCTTTACTTGTCAACTAAACTTCAAAATCTAAAGAAGAACTAAGCTATTAACTATATATTAAAATTAAAAAATAAATTAAAAGTGCACATTAACAATACCATTGACTATTTTTTTTATATATTATAATTATAAATTTCTAACAAGCTCAGGTCGGCCTAACAAGCTTAACAAGCTTTTTAGAGAGCCTAAGCTTGGCCTATTAATTTAAACAGGCCTTCAAACAGGCCTGAGTCTATCTTTTTTGAAAAACAGTCTAGGCCAAATACAGGTCAGGCCGTAGGTCCCTAACAGGCTGCCTGGCCTATTTCCACCCCTAGGTGCAACCGGCTTGCTGCAAGCATTAGTTTGCTAATTAAATAAAAAAAAAAGAAAAAATCAGTTTTATATATGAAAAAAGTGACTAGAAAAGAATTAATTAAAGAAAAAATATAATAAAAAAATGGAATTTAAAGAATGCTTTTGATTAAAAAGCAATTTAATTTGACGTGCTCTCTGGCCCATGAAAGAGGCGTCACTTGACGTTTAGCTGTGCTTTGGTTGTTTTTGGTGAACATTAGATTTAATTCCCAGAGGCGAAAGCATAACTTCTCGTTTATATAAACAACAATGGATTTTCCCCCCCGGGCAAACAGAAGTGAAAGTTAAAGCACGCTTATGATTTTGCTCAAAATGAAAAGCCAAAGAGCATGCTTTTGATAAAAGGGATAACCTACAAATTTATCCCAAAATTTTACTTAAAAACGCTAGCCATAGAACTTTTTTTGACGTAAATTTTATTTTGAAAACTTAAAATTCTAGCAATATTGTCCCTACTGAAAAAATTTGACTTCAAAATGCAATGCTAGTGAGGATGTGGCATCTGCGTGGCTGAGGAGAAAAATTTATCCTTTACTTGAATTGAGAGAAAATCAAAGAGAAGAGAAAACTAGAGAGGAAAGAAAACAAAAAAGAAAAATAAAGAAAGAAATAAGTTCTTCTCTGCTTAGATATGAGAGAAAACGCGAGAGGAAGAAAAAGTGAAGGAAATAATGAGGTGGGTCTCATGTTTTTTTTTTCTCTTTAAATTTTCTCTTAACTTACGGAGAGATTTGGAAAATTCTTGACTTCTTCCTCTTCATATTTTTTTTTTAAATTGAAAAGTTGTTCACTTTTAATTTTGGGTTAATATAAATTTTAATCCCTCAAATTTGAGCCCATTTAGGTATCGGTCCCTAAGATTCAAAACTCATTGTGTTGGTCCTTCAAATTGTATCCGTTTTTTGCCATTGGTCCCTGGTAGCTTTAGGCCGTCAAAATCATCTAAGTTGGCACTAACTCTGTTATACTGATGATGTGTACATAGAAGCTGGTATGTACATGGATCTTATATGGAAAAAAGAAAAAAAAAAGATAAATGGATGTTTTAAAACACAGCGCACCTGAAGAAATTGACGCACTAGCAGTTGAAAAAGAAAAAGGGAAGGGGTTAGGGACTTAGGGTTGAAGGGAAGGCCGTCAGTGGTGACAAGAAAGATCCAACACCCACAGATAAGGTGATTGAGGAGAAAGATCCAGCAAAGGAATTTAAGATCAGATGAAGGCAACGGAGATCCGGCAATTGCAGGGAAGGGCGATTGGTATTTTGTAAGTTGTTGATATAAGTTTTTAATTTTCTACAACATCTCTCCTATCCCATCTTCTCCTTGTCTTCAACATCGGATTCAATGTAAGCTGTAGTGAGGTGGAATGGCTTCTAGTAGGAATTCGTCGTAGTTTTCACTTCATGGACTGAACAAATTATGATAGAAGATTTCTCAAGTGCCCAAATTACAAGGCTAGTGGCTGATAATTTTTTTCCTATCAAATTTGATTAAGTTTCTGGATTGATGAATTTCTGTTTTTGTTTAATGGCTTCTGGATTTGCTTAGCTTTTAGGAGCAATGGTCATGCAATTATTTTGATTGGATTGATGCACCGGTTGAGAATCCAACATTGGAGGAATTAAAGAAGATGAAGAAAGACAATGATGATATGAGAAGGCAGCAATAAAACTAACAGACAACAACCTATATCAATAGTGAGACCAAAAGGCAGTAGCGAAATTGACCATCTAAAGTACATGGCAGCCTTAAAACTAATAGACAATGGTAGGGACTAGGATTAGAAAATAACGGAATAGGAAAATAAGGATGCAAAAGGAAAATTCTAGTAGAAAGAACTGCAAGTATCTCACAAAACTCTCTAAAAGACCAAAGGAGAATCTCCAATATGAATATACTCTCTGAAAAATGTCGTGTCTTGTTCATCAGGCTAATAAGCCTTTTAATAACAAATTATATAGAGAGAATATGTTGATAATTCAAAGATAACAATCAGCAACTAAATCTAGAAGGCAGCAGCGAAACCAAAAGATCAACAGCAAAATTGAACATGTAAAGTACATGGCAGCAACAAAACCAACAGATAGCAACCTATATTAATAATAGGGATAAGGTGCATTTTTACCCCGGAAGTGTTCACGTAGAAGCTATGGGTGTCCGGAAGTTTTTTGGGTCTCAATGTCGCACTGGAAGTATAAATTTCATAGCAATGTCGCCCCGAGCTAACTTTCAACTCACGATCAACATTAAAATTACCTTTCTCTGAACTGTTTTTCTTAATATAAATTAGAGAACTGGTCTTCTTGCATACATATTCAAGAACTGCTCTTCTCAAATACTTATTTGAGAATGCTCTTTGGTCTTCCTAAATACATATTTAAGAACTAGTTTTCGGTCTTCTTAAGTACATATTTGAGAACTGGTCTTCTTGAATGCATATTCGAGAATTGGTCTTTAACAAGCATAACTTGGCAAAAATCAACCTTTATTTCCTCACATTGCATGAGTTATTGCCAGAACGCATTAACATATACGATAGATTCTCACCTTTCAACCAGCAAAACTCGCCAAAATTACTGTTACAGTTTCTTCCCTCGACTGCCGTTGATAAACCACATTCCTTTGGTGACGGAAAAGTCATAGTTCTCCGACAAGTGTGGGTGCGCTTTACTATTGACCTAACCCTTTTTCCCCTTTCTTTTCTCATGTTCTTGGTCTTTTTTATTGCTCCGTCTGTGTGTTTTCTTTTAAGTCAGCGCTTTTTCCCCCCATTATTTATATGTACATGTCAGCAAGCCACATTATCAAACTATTGTCCACCTCATTCTCTTAAGTTAGATGCCACATCATAGGTTAACAGAGTTAGTGCTAACTCAGACTATTTTGACAGCCTAAAGCTACCAGGAACTAACGACCAAAAACATATACAATTTGAGGGACCAATAGCATGAGTTTTAAATTTCAGAACCAATACCAAAATGGGTTCAAATTTGAGGGACCAAAATTTATATTAACCCTTTAACTTTTTATCTTATAACAATATTTTTATTAAATAATTTGGCTTTAGAATATAATAATATAAAAATATGTATAAACCAAATAACTAAATTTTAAATTATTCGATGATGCTAATGTTAGTATAATTTTCTTATTACAATATTTGATTTGATTTTAAAAATGATATATTTTGATAAAAATATTTTAATTATTTAAATATTTGTTTATTTTTTTCCTCTATTTTCTCCTCTCTATCTAAGCCCTCTGATTTTTTCCTCTCTCCATTTCCCCTCTTATCTTGTCCTTCCTTCTAACTTTTCTTCACATCCAAGGAAGCAAAGAATTAAAGTGCCTTGTGATATGAATGAAACCAATCAAAAGCAACACCCCCTTAATCAAAAAGCCTTGATAAACGATCCCCATCTCTTCCTTCACTCTTCTTTTCTTCTCCCACCTCTCCAAAAACTGCAGCCTCTTGAATGTTGGCCCCCAACTGTCCTTTAATTTTAAGGTTTTTTTTTCAATTTTTTTATTATTAGATTCTACATAAAATGTATGACATTTTAATATCTTATTTATAAAAAATGATTTAATTTGTAATTTTTTATAATTTTTTTAAAAGATTTAATACTCTACATTAAGAAAAATAAACCATTTAAAGTGCTAAATCTTATAATTTTGCAATTGGCGAAATTGCTCTAAAAAACTTTTCTGATGCCATGGCTCTTTTACGAAAACTTCGGGAGCAAGAATGACTTTTAATTCAGGCCCCCAAAAAAAAAAAAAAAACAAAAGACTATATATATGCATCCACTCTTCCTCAATTCTCTTGTAGTTGTACTAGGCACACAAAACTGAGTTGCTTTCGCGCACAAACTGTGAAAGATGGCGTCGTCGAAAGTGAGCTTAAAGTTGTTGATTGACACAAAGGAAGAAAGAGTTCTCTTTGCCGAAGCTTCAAAAGAGTTCATTGACTTTCTATTCAACTTGCTTCGCTTACCCCTTGGCACAGTGACCAGGCTCCTAACCAAAAACGCCATGGTTGGCTGCTTAGGCAAACTCTACGAAAGCGCAGAGAATCTGGACGACGTTTATCTCAACAATCCTGAACAAGACAGGAACGCTTTGCTGAAGCCAAGTGCTCCATTAGTTTCTGGCTACCTTCTTCCTGCCGCAAATGATGATGATCATCATGATACCAATTCCTCAGGAGCTGCTCCAAATCTCTACACGTGTGGGGGCGGTTTTGGGAGCCATTGCAATTATGCTGTGACATATGTTATGGACATGGCGTGTCCAAGTTGTGGACGCCGCATGAACTGTGCCGTACAATTAGTAGGTAATGATATAAAGGTGGCAGAAGATTCAAGTGCGAAAGGCTTTGTGAAAGGAGGGTTCACTTACACTGTGATGGATGATCTTGAAGTTCGTCCCATGTCTACCATTTCAACCATCACTTTGATCTCCAAGTTCAAAGTCAAAGACATTTCTTCCATACAAGAAAGGGTTGTTGAGTTGGGAATGGAAGAGGTAACATAATTAATATATGCGGGGACTTCATCCCTGAGACTTTTGTTTTCATTTCCTGTGTTTTCCAAAGATGTTATAGTTTAGGTTATCATACTAAAAGCATAACATAACCTTTTCCCTAAATGAAAATCAAGTCGAAATTTATTATAAAGTTATTTTTTAAAAATATGTATGTTAAAAAAAGTGTTTAGATGGAAACCAAACCATGGTTTTAAAAATAATTTTATAACATACAAAATAAATATGTAGGAGAGTTTGCCTCAATTTATAAAAAGTACTTTTAAAAAATAATTTTGATGATATCCAAATACTCCCTAATCAATTTTCTTTTGAATATCGTTGGATTAAAGATGATATAATGTGTCTTATTTACTCTTAATTATTATTCAGTTGCTTTTTATATTCTTGCTTACTTTTTTGATGCTAGCTCTTTTTTTCCTTTGTCCCTTATAATGTTTGTAGACTCTAATAGTTTTTCCTTTCATTTGATAGGGTACTAAATTGCTAAAGGCTTCCTTGCAGTGCAAGAATGTTTTGACGAGTGTTTTTCTCAAAAAAGACAACATAAAGAAGCAAGGAATTTCTCAAGACATTGTAATGGAAGCTGAGACTTGCTAGCTTCCTTTTGCTTCTGTGTTTCATCTGTCTTCGTTTCTTTTTCTCCTTTTGGCAGGTGACGTCTGTTTTAGTCTACTTTTGTACTGTTATGAACTTATGGGATGTGTTATTTTTATGCTTAATCAGGCTGGTGAAATTAGTTACTGTTGCCAAACCCAATTATATGTATGAAGCTAGTTATATAATTTCATGCTTCCTCAACAATTAAAAGTAGTTCTAAATCATGATGCTGTGTCAAGCGACCAGTTTTTACTGTAAAGAATACTGAAAAATCCTAAAAGAAAAAAACACTTTCGTTGCATTATTGCGAGTTACTGGTTCAAGAAAAAAGATAGAAAAAGAAAAATTAGAGTCATTTTCGTAGGGTATAAGCATTGGGCACAAAGGGGCCATTATCATTAATAGAGCTCCTATGAATGGCCGTACACTATCCCCCCCCCCCCCAACCCCCCGGGGGATAATAGCTGTACACTATCGCTGTGGTCATTTTCTGAGGAAGCCGGCCAACCTTTTTCAAAATGTAGTTTTTGAAAGGTACATATTTATCAACAGGAGCAATGAGACTTTTTTTTTTAATCAAAATATTATAAATAAAAATCCTATTTGCTAGCAAGATTAAAATCACTTATAAATATATTTTACGTAAATTGAAATAAAATTTTTCCTATATACTTATCTTATATTTTGTAAATCATAATTGAAAACGGCCCAAATATTACATGATGGAAAAGATTACCTATACGCTGCATTTTTTGAAACTCACTGTGAACAAGTTCAGCCTGAAATTTTTTAAATTGTTCACAGCCTGATATTTTTTTTTTAAATGAAAAGGTGGAACTCGTTCATAAGCACTCCTGTCCTTTTTCACTTTTGATAAAAAGAAAAATTACGTACAAGTTCCAAAGAGTGGACTTTATTTATCTAACGTTCCATAAAATATCAAAATTGCTAGCAGATCTTAAGAGAGATTAGAGTATTATATTCTAATTGTAAAATAACATCACTACCTCTCATATTTCCAACTATAAAGCATGATGGCATGTCACTAGTTAACATAAGTTTATGGAAAACTACATACCATATACATTAGTATCCATCTTGTGCATGTACGTGATAATGTTTGCTACTAAGATTCTTCCAAATCTCACCCCTCCCTTAACCAATCATAGTAGGTCAAATGATAAGAAGAAAGCGTGCATGAAGAAGGGCAAGAGATGGAAGTAAAGAAAGTGGAGAATTTACATGCATTTCAATGTAAGGATTGAAGTCGCTAGTAATTAATTGTGGACATGTTGAGCATGAAATGTGATGTAATGTTTGATGTATGATGTTAATGGCATGTAACTCAAAGTATAAGAATAAATGGAAAACCATAAGACTAGTTGTTGCATGCTTAAATTAAGAGAGAATTAAAAGTAAGAAGCTAATGAAAGATAAAAACGAAAGTCCTGGAATAGTGAGTTTGTAACTCCAGTTTAACCCAGCAAATGGTGGAATCTGATCACGAAATTTGGTGATCATATAGTACACATTCCAAGCTTTAAAATGAGATGCAGACCACCTCAATTGGATGTGTACACAAAGAGATATGAATTTTCATAGTTGAGGCAAGAAATCTGAAAGTTACAGTATTTACCAAATAAACAGTAAAGTTTAATGAATAAATTGTACAAACCGGTCAAGGATAAGTCTAATTTCTTTTTTTTTCCTATAGAAAATTGAAAGAGCTTCGAGCAGAATGTTGGAGCACCTCAATACAATTTTTATAGAATTAGTTATGAATTTTTGAAATTGGACCTGTAATCTAGAATTTAAACAGTGAATAGTAACATGAGTAATTATGTTGAAATTTTCAATCCACTGGCTTGTTTTATAATCTGTTTGACTCATAATACTTAAAAATATGTACTCTGAAGGGCAAAAGTAAGGAGATTACACTTGATCTAACCTGTTTCTATTCCTATTAGTCGTCCAGATAATGATAGTGTTGATCTCTCCAATGGAATCCCTGACCCCCTTGTTGCTTATGAGGACATAGAGAAGGGAAAATGACAAAAACAAAGCTAGAAATTCCTAGATTTTAAATAAAAAATATCAATAAAAATTTGTTGTCATTTACAAATTCAACATTGTCAATACCAAATAAAGTGTTGTTATCAAATTTGATTTGAAATTTAATAATTTCCTGCTTCCTTTTTTATTATTATTATTTTTTTTTACAGAAAATGATCTTCTTGCCGGTGATCTCAACTCGAATAGTCCTTCCTCCTTGTCTCTAGGAATTTTGTCAAGCTCAAGTGGCAAGTGCATGATTTAACTTTTATTAATTTTAATTTGCAAAATACATTTTTAAGAAAAATAGAAGGCGAATTCCTTATGTGATATTAACTGATTAAAAATTTAACAAAGTTACATAATAAATATGTACCAAATTAACTATAAGCTTTGTATATTTGACGAAAAGAAGTAATTATAAATTTTGTCTAGAGTACACCTATGATGGATTAATACTTCCCAGCAACATTACTTCTAAAAGAAGTTTTGAACACCCATGGCTTTTATGCAAAAACTTTCGAGGAAAAAATAGACTTTATCCCTATGTTTTTTCTTTTATAAAAAAATTAATTATATAAAAAGGTTAAATGCATCCAGTATTTTGAGATATTTTCTAAGATGCATCTAGCATCCTAAAATATCTTTGTGGCTAAAGTTTTTTTTTTAAATGCATCTAACACCTTAAAGTATTTTTTTGATATATTCAATATTCTAAAATATTTCGTAGAAACGTTTAGCCCCTTAAAATATTTTTTGGTACATATAACATTATAACAAAACAAAAATACTTTTAAGGTACTAAATTTGTCTTAATGAAGAAAACTATACAACAAAAATGGTGCATTATAAAGCTTAGGAAATTAAATAAATAACTAACAGAACAACAGTTTTGAGCCAACACCACTGTGGTCTAACTGGTTGCGGCTTTCATCCGCCTTGCAAGCATCAGTTTGCTAATTAAAAAAGAAAAAAAGAATCAGTTTTATATATGAAAGAACCGAGTAAAAAAGAAAAGAAAAAAATAAAATACCAAAAAGTGGAATTTAAAGAATGCTTTTGATTAAAAAGTAGAGTACTTCAATATCACGCGCATTGTGCTCCGTGAAAGCAGCGTCATTTAACCTTTAGCTGTATTTTGGTAAACAAGGCTCAAAGCCCATATCTTTATCTTTAGCTGGCTGTTCAAGGTTAACACAGACTTCCATCTTTCAAATTTTTTTTAATTTTGATTTTAATTTTTAAAAGTTTAAATTATAAGTTTTGGTCATCTTAAATTTTTTTATTTAAAATATTAGTCTCTATAATCTAATAAAAATTTGAATTATTTTGTCTTTTGAGGGACCAAAATCTATAATTTAAAATTTGAAAGATTAAAATTAAAGATAAACATAAGGACTGATGATTATATTCACTTTTTTTTTTACCTGGATATCTTTAGCTTTGTTTGCCGGGGTGAAATTGAAATATCTCATTTATATAAAGGGATGGAATTTTTTAATGAGCAATGGCGCCCCGAAAGTTGCAAAATTGCTGCAACCTCGCCGCGATCACCGGATGGAACCTAAATGAAAAAGTTTGACTTCGAAATGCAAAGGTGCCAAATGATGTGGCACTCAAGAGTCGGCCACCTCATCATCATCAGCACCTCAAAAGCCACGTGTGAATATCGGTCCTCCCTCCCTCTTCTACAACAGGACTCCTTGATCGCTCCTCATCAGAATATAGGGCCCACCAGGCGAGATGGAATCTGTTGAAGAAGAATCAACCGTGAGTGGTGGTGGTGAGGACGGAGCCGGGGACGGCTTGAGAACGAATTTGGCAGAGGGTGGAGAGGAGGGAGGCGATGAAGGTGGGCTTGAAGCGTCGTGGCCTCTTCTTCCATTCCATACTCTGTTTCGTCTTGGATACCCTCTTGCTTGAAGGGTGATGTTAACGTGGTTATGAGATTTAAGTCGAGGCCTTTTTATAAAGTAGGCGTCGTTTTTTATTGCTTTCATGTGATGTGGCACTTTAAATTTCTCTCCGATCAGCCACGCAGATGCCACATCGTTGCCAGCATTTCATTTTGAAGTCAAGTTTTTTTATTTAACAGTCAACCTTGGGTTTTCATCCTACAATTTTGCAACTTTTAAGGTGACATTGTTTTTTTGTTCTTTTTTTTTTTAAAAAAAAAGCTTTTGAGATAAAAATAATTAAATACGTGACTACATATATGCCCCCGCTCATCCTCAATTCTCTTGGGGCGGTACTAAGCGCACAAAACTGATCTGCTTCTCCGCACAAACAGTGAAAAATGACGTCGTCGAAAGTGAGCTTGAAGTTGTTGATCGACACAAAAGAAGACAGAGTTCTCTTTGCGGAAGCTTCAAAAGAGTTCATCGACTTTCTATTCAACTTGCTTCGCTTACCCGTCGGCACAGTGACCAGGCTCCTAACTAAAAATGCCATGGTTGGCTGCTTAGGCAAACTCTACGAAAGCGCAGAGAATCTGGACGACGTTTATCTCAACAATCCTGAACAAGACAGGAACGCTTTGCTGAAGCCAAGTGCTCCATTAGTTTCTGGCTACCTTCTTCCTGCTGAAAATGATGATGATCGTCATGATACCAATTCCTCAGGAACTCCAAAACTCTACATGTGTGGGAGCCGTTGCAATTATAATGTGACTTATGTTAAGGACAGAGCGTGCCCAAGATGTGGATGTTCCATGAGCAATGCCGCACAATTAGTCGGTAATGATAAAAAGGCGGCGGAAGATTCAAGTGCGAAAGGCTTTGTGAAAGGAGTGGTCACTTACACTGTGATGGATGATCTCGAAGTTCGTCCCATGTCTACCATTTCAACCATCACTCTGATCTCCAAGTTCAAAGTCAAGGACATTTCTTCCTTACAAGAAAGGGTTGTTGAGCTGGGAATGGAAGAGGTAACATAATTAATATATGCAGGGACTTCATTTCTGAGACTTTTGTTTTCATTTTCTGTGTTTTCTAAAGATGTTATAGTTTAGGTTAGTATACTAAAAGCATAACATAACCTTTTGCCTCTGTGAGAATCAAGTCGAAATGTTTTGTACAGTTATATTTTTTATAAATATCGATCGCATGTATGTTTGACCAGTTTTCCTTTGAATACAGTTGGATTAAAGATGATATAATACATGTTTTATTTA